AAGACAAGTAGTGAGTCTACAGTATCTTACTACGCTGATGGACAGTGACTGCAATGGGGTTTGTGGTGGGGGACTTGGTGAAGGGGAGAATCTAGTAACCAAAATGTTATTCATGTAATTGTAGATTAATGATAATAAAATGAATTTAAAAAATGTACAGTCCTCCAAATGGCAGTCCCAGAAATGCAATACTTCATAGAAGAGGATAAAACAAAGACACCCCTTGGAAGACTGGATGGTGAAGGAAAAAAAAAGAGGAGAAATTCATGATCCTGCAAGATAAAGAGAACTAAAACAAATTTTTTAAATAAAACACTTCCACATAAGGCCCACTTCAAGATACATCTATTGAAAAAAGTGAGCTTTGCCACATGCAAAGAAGAGGGAAGTTTTGAATTCCTCGAAAAGAAAGTCTTGTAAATCATTGCAAACTACCAACCTTACCCACAAAATGCATACTGGTAAGTAATATTCATCTGCACCAAACTACTACAGACTAAAAGAGAAACTAAGAATCAAAACATTATAATAAATGAAATTTCCCCAAATAAAACAACTATGAAACTGAAGAGAACTATACATTACACTCAAGCATGTGGAGATATGAAACAAGTATCTTGAATCTGAAATTCAAAAACTAAAAATATAAATGGACAACAAATGAAGAAATGTAGTAAGAAATTATTAAATTCAGGAAAGAAATGGAAGAAAAATCAAAATTATATCAGAAATGAAGATTATATTAGAAGGTGCCTAAAAGAACATATTCAGTTAAAAATTAGGAAGGAGCACAGGGGAGAGGGGAAAAGAAGTGAGAGAATGAAAATGAGATCAAGAGAGAACTAAAAAAGGGCAGAGAAAAAGGCATTGAAAAACAGAAAAAAATCCAATGTACACATACATTCTTGGAGTACTTGAAGAAAGAAAAATAAAACAATGAATGACATAAATTTTAAAAATTATAATCCTAGAAAACTGTGTGAAAATAAAAGACACATACTGAAAGGCCCGCCCACTACACTGGAAACTGACCTAGAATGAGCAGCACTGAGACATGAAAACGATTAGACTTTAAAGATAAAGGAAAAATTCCTAAGGGCCTCAAGGATAAAAATCAAATAACTTGGAGGAAGACCGCTGGATTGGCATCAGACTTCTCAAAAGCAACATATAAAGCAAGACAGCCAGTGGAACACCATTTTTAAGAAACTCAAGATTTTATACCCAGCCAAGCTGCCCACAACTATCTACATTACAGAAACACAGTTTTAAATACAGATGAATCAAAGGAATAATATATACCTGAGCCCTTCTCTACCACGGAGCTTTGTCCAACTAGGAGATGATGGGGAAACTCTGGGAAAAGGATTGATATATTCAACTGCAAATCCAAGACTAAAACAAAGACAGGGAAGCAAGTGGAAGAATAATACATAAATGTCAAATGTTCTGAAAAAATTAAATTACTGCATCCCCCAAAATGAGAATAAGGGAGAAAGAAGAAAACAGGCTCTTTAATTGTTATACTGGAAACAAGTAGAAAATAAAGATCAACAATAAAAACTGAAAAGCCAGAGAGTAATATATGAGGAAATGAGACAATAAGGGCAGAGCCATGAAAAATAATAAATCATTATTTCAAAACAAAACAAAAAAACAGTACTTATATAATGTATGTGGGTAATTTTAATAAAGTATTTTCATGGATAGTATAACTAATATACCAAAGATTAACTTTATTTAATGATGATAGTTAAAATCCTAATTATTAGATATAATGCGTAAGATATTTTTCTGGGGAAACCTGAGATATTTTCTTTTCATTCTCCCCAAATGCAAAGCTTGACATCTAATTTATATTTATGCTTTAGTCTTTCTAGATTGGGGATGAATTTTCTATTTATTAATTATGGAAAACTCTAAAGTATACCTGTGATGTCCACACCAGTTTGAACATGGGTAAATTCTCCTAAAGACATGATAAAGAGAATATCCAAGAAGTAATACTCGTAGAGCTAAAAATATTGTTGCCAGTTACCTTATTGATTTAAAAGCTACTTATTTAAGTATTAGCACAGAGTTTATGCTATACTAGCATAGCTTTTTCTTATTTCCACCTCTCCTAAAACATCTGTCCACCCACAACCATCTCCCACTGCTCTCTGACGTGAGCACTCTAATTCAGACTCCTTGTACACATCTCACGCTCTTCTCTGCTACCATTACTTCTTACGCCCTTCCTGGCCACTCTGCCAAGCCCTGCATCCTTGGTCAGAGGGAATATCTACATGTCATTTTCATTCAGCTAAGCTCCACCTTTCCTATCCAGCGCTTCTGTGTGTCATTCCCTAATGAGTATTCCATCTCTGAATGTTGCAGGAATAGGTGCCCTAATTATTCAGGCATCTCCATCTTGAGTATTCAAGTACCTTCTCAGCCCCTGGACAATATCATGTTTCTTCTTCTTGATTTCTATCTCCTATAACACAGATACAGTTTAAAACAAATGACAAATCCTCTAAAATTTGTACAAAGTTTTATGCAAAATATTTTTAACAAATAGTAAGTACCTTTCATCATATTCTGAAATGACCCTATGACACAAAAGGGTTAGGCATTTCTGTCAAATGAGGGGTGCCATTTATAAAAAAATATTTCTTGACTTAACAACTGTCCTTTGTCACACAGCAAAACAGTCAACTCTGATAAATGCTAACAAAAAGTTCTACTCATCTGAAAAAGAGTAACAGGAAGATAAACCTCTCTGCTTACTGTGTGTACAAATTCAAGCCTTGGCAACTATTCAGCTTTTCTTATCTAGAGCAGATACATTTTACTATTTCAGTAACCCAAGAATAATAAAGGAACACTGTTGAGTTTTCTTAACCATGAAACCATGAATGCTTTTCTGTTCTTTGGCGCCCTAATAAAATTAATTACACTGTTAGGCAGAAAAATAGACATGAGCGGGGTAGAAAGAGAATAAAACCAGTCCCACTAAATGGGACTCAAAGAGTTAATCAGGTAAAACCAGAGAGCCAGAAGGACTCACTGAGTTAACGAGTTAATAAGTTGAAGTTTCAAAGGCCAGGAGCAACTAGGAATATCTAGATATTCCCCCAAAAAGAAAAGTATCTGAGCACAGCCCGTATCTTCATTGTACCAATTAGATCACGCCATTGTAAAATCTACTTAGCCTGCAAAAAAAGACCCAGTTTATTCTTTAACCTAAGCTATATGATGTCTTTTCCTCTTCTTCCAGCCCTTTTAATCAAGAAGCTTTATAAGCAGGGCAGGAGACAGACCTCTGAAGTGTAAATATACCTATGCAGACAAAGAATGCTGAAGTCCGAAACAACACAGTCACCTAAATAACCAATTCTTAAGACAAAACTTCAAAGGGATTACGAATTACCTGTATGCTTTATGCCTTATGCTCTTACCGAAAAATCCCTATAAAACCCCAGACCCTCAAGTGCGCCTCCTCTGAGGTTGCCTGCACTCCTTTCTGAGTGTGTCACTCTCTGTTCTACTCCAGATAGGTAGGGAGGGGCTGCTGAGAGCTCTGATTTGGGCTTGCAAGTTCCCATCACAAGGGTAACCCAGACGGAACTGCAGCTGTACGATCCTGCCCCTTAGAAGCCTGCCTGAAAATCTTTGCTTTGGGAAGTTCCCAGAACATAATCCCACTCCATCCAGTGCTCTGCAGCTCCCCCAAATCCTGGGGTGGTAGGACTTAGTTTCCACACTGTGCAGATCTAAGCAGACATTGGGACCCCTGCTTTAGATAGCAAGGGTCTGTCCAATGCTGAGCAGGAATTCAACGAGCTTCTCCTTCCTCTCTGCTTTATTAAAGTAAACCTGCCTTTGTTTATCTTGATTCTGGCCCAGCTCTCCCCTTAGAGTGTATTCAAATAATTTCATTCTGCTTTGCTACTGTGTCTCCGCCCTTTAATTCTCTGTTGCGGTGGGGACAAGAACCAAGGAGAGTAAACTCAACCCCCAACAAAACTATGAAGCTTTAATTAAACATGAATATGGGTACATTCTTAAGAAACAGGGCTGGGAAAAACTTTTAGAGGCAAAAATAATCTGAGGAAGAGAGTATTGTTCTTTCCATCACCTGATTACACATACAGTGCAGAAAAAAATACAGTATGTACCAACCTTAATTCTTTCTGGCTCAAGAAACTACATTCCTATTTGCCATCAAACATAAATCCTGCAGTTTTCCAATCAATCATATCAAAATTACCATAAAAAAATAAGTGAACTTTATAATTTGCTGTCATTACATGCTCCTCAGAGCATGACTTCAGAGCTTTATGTACTGTTATGTATCTGCATGGTTAGTCTTCTGGCTACCTTAAAGAATAATCTTTAGGCCTGTCAAAAACAAAGTTGCTTTTCTCATCTATGATTACCTTTTGTTTCTTAAATTTATAAATCTTCATGCATTCACAGAATTTGTTAACTGATAATGCTTTTTATTTCCTCCATCAGAAAACAAATTATTTATGCCAAACAAAAGAGATTAAATAACATACCTCTACTAAGATGATTTTATTTTGCCTGTCTTCTAAACTTAGCATAAAATAATCTGTTTTTGAGGAATACAGCTCAGTTTTCTCTCCTGATAGAGGAAAGGATTACTAAAAAATTACCTTTTAATTCTTTTTATCCTGTTTTCTAAGGCTTTCAAGAAATTCTTTACTACTAAGCTATGCAGTCTCTTTAAGGCAAGCCAACAATTCATGATGCTTTTTGAACTGACTCATGAAAACCCATTTTATATTTTCTCTTGATACCTCCTGGGGAAAAAATTTATAAGTAAAAATATAGAAAGAATGAATTATACCCACAGAAATACATCATTATTTTTATTACACTGAAGGACACAGCCAATACTTTTGAACTCAGAAAAATTATAGGGAATCAGCTATAAATTAAAAAGTGTCAGAAGACAGTGGCTTTATCACTTTTCAAAAATACCATTTTACCTGATTAAGTGAGGTGGTGTCTGTAAGCACAGCATCAGGAGGTCTATTAGGTATGGCTACAGCCGCCTGAAATCAACACACATTACAGTTAAATATTAACAAAATAATTGTTATTCTCTTTACCCAAACTGGTATTTAGATATACAACCATGTGTAATAAAATCTGTAAATTGGAGAAAAAAATTTTTAATATTTTATGTTTAGGAGATAATGATACTAGAAATTTCAAAACTGCTACTTCATCTACAGTATTTCCCTGAAATGGCCCTGTGTAATGAAAAACAACCAGATCCATTCTCTAGGCCACAAAGGAGAAAAAGGTAAATACTTTTTCCCAATGCAAATGATGACAACTATAAGAATTAAACAATTCACATCTCAATTGATTTAATCTTTAAATGTACTTTACTAAGGGTGTGGATCTCTTTGTATTTATATCCTATTTGGAGTTGGCTGAACTTCCTGGATGTGTAGATTAATGTTTTTCATCAAAGCCATTATTTCTTTGATTTTTTTCTGCTTCTCTCCTCATTTTCCAGTACTGCCATTACATGAATGCTGTATGCTTAATGGTATCCCACATTCTCTGAGGCTCTTCATTCTTTTTCTTTTCTTCATCCTTTTAGACAAAGATAGACAGATCTTCAAGCTTTATGATTTCTTTCTTCTCTCAGTTCAAATCTACCATTCAGCCCCTCTAGTAAATACTTCATTTCAGTTGTTGTACTTTCAGCTCCAAAACTTCTGTGTGGTTCTTTTTTATGATTTCTGTTCATTGATATTCTCTATTGATGAGTTAATGCCATACTTTCCTTTACTTCTCTAAGCATGGTTTCCTTTATGTCCTCGGAACATACTTATTATAGCTGCTTTGAAGTCTGTCAATTTCTGTTACCTGTTTTGTTTTGGGTTGTCTTTTTTTTTTTTTTTAAATCTCTGGGTCACACTTCTGTTTCTTTCATGTCTTGTCATTTTGTTAACTGGACATTTTAGATAATGTGTTGTAGCAACTCTGGATACCTATCTTCCATCCCCTTCCAGGGTTTGTGACTACTGTTAACTTGCTTATTTGTTTAGTGACTTAAACTACTTTCACTAACTCTATTTCCCACCCAGTGTGCAGTCCCTGCTGTTGCTCTTCCCAGGGTATAGCCTTGACCAGCACAGTCACCCTAGGATGACAGTTTTAGCAAGGCTCTCTGCAACTGTCTCTCTCTGATCTGTTAACTGTCTGCCTCTTTTGGTATCACACTCAGCTGTTAGGCTCCACTAATTGCCAGATGATTACTCTATTATTTATAACAATGCACTGGGGCATACCCTGCTCCACAGTTTGACTCAATTAAAAGCCAAGCCTCTTTGCCCGAGTAGCTTTGTAGGCCAGTCTTTGAGATTTGGTATGATCCCATGAAGGCTTTTCTTAGCTGTCTCTTTAGTAAAGTTCTAGATGGGCTGGTCTAACTCATGACTCTTATGGAGTTACCAGCCTCCCCTTGATAATAACTAAAGCAACCTTGTGTTTGAGAGCACCCTTACTTTTGAACTTAACAAATACTCTGTTCCAAAATGAGCTAGTCTTGGGAAAGCTTCAGAGATCTCTATTTTTGGCCTGCTGGGCAAAACCTCTATAGCACTCACTGCAAGGCCAATGGGAGCAAGGACAGTGGTCCGCGTCTATCCAAGTGACATCCTCACTTTATAAGAAGGGTACTAGTTAGGGATGATAACAAGGGTACTAGTTAGGGATGATAGCTTCTGGTCTCCTCAGCCTGCCTCTCCCAGCATAGAACCTCCACCTTAAGAGCAAGTTGGGGTAAGAGTGATCAGGGAGGGCTCCAGTGTCCTCAACTTGCCATGGGCGGAATGGAGTTTCTACCCTACAAGTAGGCGATGGAGAGAGGAAAACAGCCCCGTTACTTATAGCCACTTTGTGGGGAAAATGGGAATTTAATGGCCAGGATTCTTACCTCTCCTGATACAAGTATCCCTAGTGTACACATATTTAGCCTGCTTATATACCTCTTGGCAGAAAACTGTTTATCGGTAGATAGAGCCACCTGAAATGAACTGTCAGTCACGGAAATACAGGCGGAGCCAGCAGAAGAGGGAGGAAGGAGAGAGCTGCGGTTCAAATGCTACACATTCTCACTATTCTTACCAACATACAGATTTTCTTGAATAAATATGTCTTCATTTGCTATATGCTTCATTTGCCACAATGCTATATAGCATTATATATAATGCTAAATTATATATAAATTTTTAATTTTTACCAGTTATGACTCTTTCACTGTGGAGACAGTTTAAGGAGCACCATCATTCCAGAAGTAGTCTTACAGTACTGTTTTAAGTAATACTTTATTTACTCCAAAAGAAAATTTATTACAGTATAATCTTATCATCCCAAATAAATTAGAAATAAAGACCAATTAAACTAGTGCAAAATTCAAATTATAAAATATTTTTAGGAAAAATGTTTTTAAATAGAGTTTGAGAATTATAGAGTAGAACTGCCTTACACAAGAAAAATGTTCAATGAATTTAATGAATCAAGATTTTAATTTACACAGGATCACTTGTATACATTTCATTTCTCTAAAGACTTTTGGGTGCTGCAAAGTTTGTATAAGGAAGTAAAATATTTCCCTAATTATCTCAGGCATACTATACTTATTTAAGCCAGACTTTTCTATATATAACATGTTATATAATAAAATACACAACCATAAACTGTACTTTAAATCCAAGGAACATATTAATTCAAATGTGGATTACTGAGGCTCTCCCCTATGAAATTACACACATGGTAATACAGTAAATTCAAAATATAGATAAAGTACCTTAACTGCACGTATATTTTGCTTATAAGCCATAGCCTACCTTCACTTTATCCGATGTTCGTTTTCCACCAGTGCCTCCAGAGCCAACAAGGAAGACAGAGAACTGATTATAACACATAAGCTCACTCTCAGAGTAAGAATAAACTGCAAAGTAAATGAAAGAAAAAGTAAAAGAAGTTATTATCAAAAAACGTAACTAGTTAACCAATATATAATCAACAATTCCTTTAAAAATTTCAAAACCAAAACCTAATCACTGAAAGGTTCTGTAATGTAAAGATGCCCATATTGGGGTCACAACATATTCATTTTAATTCATTCACTACCAGTTTCAGGAAATCACACACAAAAAAACCAACCTTCACAAATCTTTTCTTGACTATGAAATAGCAGTTTCTCTCACCTCTTCTTGTACCTCTCCAACTGCTTTTCACATTTCAATTCTCTCCACCTCAGACATTCCAAACAGATCTCACTATAAAATGCCATATTCTCAAACTTTCAAACCTTCTGCCAAAGCACTCAAAAAGAGGCAGTATGTAAAGGAGGAAATAAGTGACAGTGGCAATGTCGGTGTCAGGAGGGCAGGATCATGGCTGTTTTGCTATCGTATTAGATATGTTCACCCAGCACTTAGACCGAAAGGCACCTATATAAAAAGGTGCCTAATAAATAATTACTAATTAATGAATCAATGAATAAATAAATGACATAAGTGAGCAAATTAGTGAATAAGTAAGCAAATAATAAATGAATCTAAGACAGCTGACACTCTTTCTACTCATTTCCCAGTGAGAGGTTGAGTATTATCCAGCTCTAGAAAATTAGGAATATGATTTTGAACTGCATACTGAGGAAAAATCCATTGTTAATAAAAATAAAGACAGTTATGTCTATTTGTATTTAAGAGTTTTATCTTTATTACACAGTAAATTAGGTATCTAATTTCATCTATACTTTATCACAAATTCTAATATATTATTACCCATTGCCAATTGATAGTTAAATAAATGGAATAGAAAAATAGCAAAAATGAAAGCTAAGGTTACTGTAGAACTCTTGCTTTGTGTATATATGCTACATTTGGAAGGATGGTAAGAAAACTGGCAAAACTGTAGCCCAATGCTGGCCAACATCTAAGATGACAAGAAAATATGAACACCTAAAAGAGGGGGGAGAAGAAAGAGGGCAGGAAAGAGAGGAAGGGGGAAAGGAGAGAGAACTGACACATGATGAAATATTACCAGTTAACAAAAATAATGTAGTAGAAAAATACTTAAAAGCATCAAAAATGTTCTCAATATACCATTAAAACAAGGAAAGTTCCAAAACAGCATATCCGATTATACGTATGTATTTAGAATATGATAAAGCCTATATTCCAAATGTCAGATAATACAATCCCACTGTTCCTTATTTTCAAAATTTTTGACAGTATCTATTTCTTTTGTTCTTAAACCTTACAATGAATAAATTTTAAGCAATGTATCATTAGCTTATGTTTATTAGTATTTCAACATGTATTAAACTATGATAATCTTTGTTTCCACCTCAAATAAAATGAGGCTGTGGTTTAAACCACGTTCTGAGTTTAACAGGCTTGAATGCACAGGGTTAGGAATCAAACTGCCATTTATAAGAATGATGCAGGGGTCAAATATGTTCCAAGTTCCAAAGAGCGAGCATAGGAAAGAATACCTAAAATAGAGCCTAATTATCAATTGAGGGTCGTTTGTGTTTCCTTCCTGCCAAAAACATACCCCAGCAAGAGGATTATTCTTGATCCTCCTCTATGACCCTACATCAGCCACATTTCTCACCCTGTGCTGGGTTACACTGTCTCAAACCCCCTCAAATGCCCCACTCTCCCCACTACCTCAATCAACTCCTCCCGCCTCCTCCCTACTTTCTAAAAGAGCTTGTATATTTCTGGAATGCTTACCTTGCTTTCTCACAAATTGGAAGTTAACATAATCAACTTCTATGGTAAAGCATTATGTTACATACAAAGCCTATCAATTTAACATTATTATTTTAGGAACTAGAAATGAGTTACCATCCACAAGAATTACTAAACCGGATCCTTTATCCAGGATATCAGCAACAACTGCTTCACATCTTAATTTTCCTAAAATGAAAAGTAAAATAAATAAATAAATAAATAGAAAGATAAATAAAAAGACTGTGTTAAAGACCTTAAGTTATTAAGACATGAAGTGTATTTAACATAACTTCCACTATGAAGTTCAGAAAAACTAAAAAATTATGATTTGAAATAATTTTCAATGTAACATTGAATAACTAACTCTACATTAAAAGCAATTAGAATTATCTGAGTCACTAAATTTGAAACTAGTAATTTCAAAAAATCTAAAAAAAAGTAAGTTTTAAAAAAATGTTTTTGATCATTCAACAAACATTTGTTAAGTCTACAATCAATACCATTGATCCTATTCCTTCTCAAATCTCTACTCCACTGGCTTCAATCAGAGTCTTTCTAATCACTGTTTCTTTTATGGACTCTTCTTTCCATCATTTAGTTGGTGCTGTCTTGATAGACTGTCAGTGTCTGGGGGTGAAATCATCATCTTTTTCTCAAACTTGCTTTTCGGAACTTTGGTATCTTACATGGTAAATGGTGCTGTCCTTCCAGCTGCCCAAGCCAGAAACTGGGGCATCACTCCTGACTCATAAAATACAGCCTAAGTATGTGGCAGAACTTGAGTATGCAGAGATTGAGAGACACTAGATCATAAAAAAAGCTTTTAACTTGATCCTGAAGGCTATGGGCAGCAACGTGAGATTTTCAACAGGAAGTGACAAACACATCTGCATTTTGGAAATAACATTTTGGCTGCACTGAGGCCAACAGACCTGACTGGGGCAAGAACAGAGGCAGAGAGAACACGTAGAAAGTGAGAGAGACGATGGTGGCCTAAACAAAGACGTGGAAGTGGAGATGGACAGAAACAGGAGGATTCTGGATATACAGAGGGAGAGACAAAGAACCTGATGATCGTCTGGATGTGAAGGATGGTAAAAGAGAAGCCAAGGATGATATTCAGATTTCTGCCACTTTAACCTCACACCCATTTCTCTCCATCTCTCCAACCCCACCTTAGACCAAGCTAAACTACCGCAACAGACTTCTCCCTCACATCCACTCTGACCAGCTTTAAAATGTGCTCCATATTACATCCAAGGTGCTATTTCCCTAAAGGCAAATCTGACATGACCCTCTTCCCAGCATCACCACCACCTCTCACCACCACCTCTCCCCACCACCTCCTCAGGCTCTTAGGATAAATATAAAACTCCCTAATATGATCTACATGATACTATTTCCTACCACCACTAGGCTCTCTAGCCACCCTGGCCTTCCTTTGCTCTGCCTTAGCCATGCTTCTCCTTGTCTCAAGGGCCTTTACATAAGACACTGACTGCCTGGAATGCTCTTTCTTTTCTTCTTTGCTAAGTTCTTACCTAGCTGAAATCCTTCTCTCAAATCTCCCCTCTCATCAAGTCCTCAGAGCACACTTGCCTTCCCACCCTATGCCAAATCCTTCTATTTTAAGTTCTAATAGCATCATGTATGGTTTACCTGTATTGTTTATCACATGTAGTTGCACCAGTACACTTATTTGAGTGGTTATTTGAATCTGGCTCCTCCCCCCACCAACTAGGTTATATGCTCCATGAGGGCAGAGTACAGATTTATTTCTGTTCTCCATTCCCTTACAGCCCTAGCAGAATGCCTAGAACTTAGCAAGCAAGCAATAAATAATTGACAAATTGGTGATGATCTCCCCAGATGATCAATTTCATGTCCAATCAAAGAGCAGGCCTACTACCTAAATATCTCTCCAATTTCTGCTCTTGTATCCACCCTCATGACCACAGTCCTGTCCAACCAACTAGGGTCTCTGAACCTACATTACTACAACAGTCCCTTACAATACCTCCTTTCTTTTATCTCCTTCCCCTTTAATCCAAGCATTACAATGAGCCAGTTGATGCTTTCTAAAACCCACATTTGATCACATAATTCTCTCCTGCTTAAAGTCTTTCAGGTGCTGTCTACAAAGGATGATATTCAGATTTCTGCCACTTTAACCTCACACCCATTTCTCTCCATCTCTCCAACCCCACCTTAGACCAAGCTAAACTACCGCAACAGACTTCTCCCTCACATCCACTCTGACCAGCTTTAAAATGTGCTCCATATTACATCCAAGGTGCTATTTCCCTAAAGGCAAATCTGACATGACCCTCTTCCCAGCATCACCACCACCTCTCACCACCACCTCTCCCCACCACCTCCTCAGGCTCTTAGGATAAATATAAAACTCCCTAATATGATCTACATGATACTATTTCCTACCACCACTAGGCTCTCTAGCCACCCTGGCCTTCCTTTGCTCTGCCTTAGCCATGCTTCTCCTTGTCTCAAGGGCCTTTACATAAGACACTGACTGCCTGGAATGCTCTTTCTTTTCTTCTTTGCTAAGTTCTTACCTAGCTGAAATCCTTCTCTCAAATCTCCCCTCTCATCAAGTCCTCAGAGCACACTTGCCTTCCCACCCTATGCCAAATCCTTCTATTTTAAGTTCTAATAGCATCATGTATGGTTTACCTGTATTGTTTATCACATGTAGTTGCACCAGTACACTTATTTGAGTGGTTATTTGAATCTGGCTCCTCCCCCCACCAACTAGGTTATATGCTCCATGAGGGCAGAGTACAGATTTATTTCTGTTCTCCATTCCCTTACAGCCCTAGCAGAATGCCTAGAACTTAGCAAGCAAGCAATAAATAATTGACAAATTGGTGATGATCTCCCCAGATGATCAATTTCATGTCCAATCAAAGAGCAGGCCTACTACCTAAATATCTCTCCAATTTCTGCTCTTGTATCCACCCTCATGACCACAGTCCTGTCCAACCAACTAGGGTCTCTGAACCTACATTACTACAACAGTCCCTTACAATACCTCCTTTCTTTTATCTCCTTCCCCTTTAATCCAAGCATTACAATGAGCCAGTTGATGCTTTCTAAAACCCACATTTGATCACATAATTCTCTCCTGCTTAAAGTCTTTCAGGTGCTGTCTACTGCCTTTAAAATAAAATGCAAACTTCCTCACCTGCCTTTCAAGGCATATCAAGACCATTTTTACCTTTCTACTCTCTTATCTTGTTTCCCTCCCTAACTTGCATTTAAAGGGGCTTATTTTCAGTAGTCTTAATGGCCCAGCTCTTTCTCACTTCTAAACCTCTACATAGTTTCTCCTTCACCTGACATATCTTTCAACCTCCTCTTAACATAGTTAACTCTGAATTTCAGATCTCAGTTTAGATTTCATTTCTACCAAGAAGCTTCCTCAACCCCTCAAGTTTAGTTCCAGGTTAGAGACTTTACAATGTGTTCCTGTGCCAAAAGATTTCTCCCATTATATCACAAGGTTTATCATTGCCCATTGTGTCTACTCATCATTAAACAGACTCCAAACTCTACATAAGTAAAGATAATGTCTTTTTCATAGTTATATTAGCAATCCTTAGCAGAAAGCCTGGCACATAACAAGTATTTAATAAATATTCAATCAGTGAATAAATAACTACAGACAACTCTTTTCTTACTGTACTTTTCTATAATTTCCAAATTTTCTATAATGAGCAAAGTGTTATTTTATAGTTTTGTAAAAATCTAAAGATGAGTACTTAAGGAGAAAAAAGGTTAAACCTACCCTAACAATCAAAACCACACATCCATCAGGTTCTATTTTGGGAATTTGGTGTAATTACATTTGCATAATACTTACTGTTCAAAAGCACATTTACATATGCCAATATTTGATGGTCACATATTCCCTTCAGTACAATCAAGGCTGGTAACATTATCAACCTCACTTTCCAGAGGAAATATTGTTTTACCTTAATAATAGAAATTATCTTGAGAAAGAAGTGAGTCTAATAAAGACATCATAATAGAAACATAATGATCAAACTTTTGAACCTAGAAAATCTAAAGGCCAGTGTATCTTGCACTAGAATATATTCTCATTCACGATGGGAAATAAAATGCTGCTCTTAGGTTTCTAACACTTCATCTAATACTTGTCCCCCCTCCACCCCACCACAAGGAGGAGTAAGTCAGCCTAAGATGGCACCACTGCACTGAGAACTGAGCCAGTAAGGAATACGGAGATGCTGACATCAGTCTCCTAATGCTTGAGGGCCACGTCTCATCAACTGGAGCATTTTATGGAAAGATTATGAATACTAGTCATACCTTGCTTTTTCGCAGTTTAAAGAGGTTCCAAACTATAAGTATCTTGAATTTTGAATATTCATATTTACCAGAGAGAAACTTTAGAACTCTTTAAGCTACTGAAGAAACATAATTCATGAGAAACATAACTGGAGACTAAGGAGGTACCAGAAATTAAGAAAAGTATTTTCTATACTTTCCAATTATCACTTTTCAGTTGAATTTTTTTTGCATATGTCTAATTTCTCTCTCCATACGTAAAATCACTAAAGGCAGAAATCTATTTCACACATGTCTACTTGCCTTATAACAATGGTTCCCAGT